CAGGGAGCCTGCACCCGGACCCTCGGTGTCGCCCGTTATTGAGGAGACAGCTGGCAGGGGGATTGAGGTGGCGATGTCCCCTGCATGGAGCCGTGTATATTAAAGCATGGCAAGCGCAAGCAACGTTTTGGAAAACGATCTACAGCTGCAGTGCAGAACAAGACTAGTATGAATCGCCCCAGAGAGAAGAAGAACTATGGAATACATCCAGTGACAACTTCTGGTGAGTGTGTTTGTGACAAAGCTTGCTCCTGACTTAGACTCAGAGACTCTGGCTAGTTATTTAAAAGAACAACTTTCCAGAGATGTGACTTGTCAGAAGATTGGCACTGAGTATACTCGCTACAGCTCTTTCAAAGTCACAGCTGAATGCAAGGAAGTAGCAGAGATGTATGCGCCGCAGCTGTGGCCAGAAGGGATGTAAGGCGCTTCTATGAGAATCGCAAGCCTAGGGCTGCGGTAGGGGCAGGTATTAAAGCACCACTTAACACAGAGATGAGTGCACCTGAACCAAGGGCGTCCCTTGCATGTTAAACAATGATAAACTGCTATAAGAGTTGTGTCTTATAACTCCCGTGGTCTGCAGCTTGGACAGCATGCAGAACGCACTGTTGAGCTCATAAACAAGCTCTTTGAGAATGCTGATGTGGTGTGTTTGCAAGAGACTTTTTTAGCTATCCAAGATCTGGATAAACTTAACACTGTAAATGGTGATTTCCATGGGGCAGGGGAATCCACGACAGACCTAAACACCAGGATCCCAGGAGGTGTGGCCATATTCTGGCACAAGAAACTTGACCCTTTGGTCACTGTGATCAGGTTAGATGTGGACTGGTGCATAGGAATCAAGGTGGTGCATAATAAGAATGTTTTTATAATCTTAAATGTATACACTCCATATGAATGTCACAAAAATGAAAATGAGTACTTGAATAAGCTTGCTTCTATAGGGTCTTATAAGGGAAAGTGAATATACATCCATATTTGTCTTGGGGGATCTGAATGCTGATATATCAGATACTAATTCACTTTTTGGTCAACACTTGACACCATTCTGCAATGGTAACAAGGTTCTGTTGTCCACTAAGGAATTATTGCCAGCTGATAGCTATACACATGTGAGTGAAGCTTGGCATACTACATCCTTGTTGGACCATTGTATATCTACAGCTGATGCACATGATTGTATAAAGGAGGCTGAGTGTTTCAGTTTTACTTGCTCTATGCTTTTCTGGGTTAATGAAGCATGGTACACTTCCTGGATCCATGTTATCTGTCTTGCTAGTACCTGTAGTTAAAAATAAGACTGGTAAATTAACTAGTATAGATAAATATAGACCTATTGCACTTGCAAGTACATTATCTAAGGTACTGGAAGGGATCCTTATGGAAAGGCTTGCAGAATACATAGCGTCAACAGATAATCAGTTTGGTTTTAAGAACAAGCATGGAACTGATCTATTTATGCACTTAAAGAAATTATCCGTAGCAGATCACGCAATAACACAGTCTTCATGTGTTTCCTGGATGCGTCAAAGGCTTTTGATCGTATCTACCATGGGAAACTGTTTGGTAAACTACATGAGCGTGGTGTCCCCTCTTACCTAATCAGGATACTGCAGTTTTGGTACTCTCACCAAACTATGCAAGTCAGGTGGGAGATGAGTTTGTCAACACCCCATATATGTCTCCAATGGAGTGCGGCAGGGAGGAATTCTGTCTCCGCTGCTTTTCAATCTGTACATAGATAGTTTATCTAGGGAGCTAAAGGGCTGAACTGGCTGCTTGGTGGGGGATAGTCTCATTAATCATATGCTTTATGCTGATGATTTGGTGGTACTGTCTCCCTCCAGTGCTGGCCTTAAGCAACTACTTAGAATATGCTCTCAATATGGACTAGAGCCCGACCGATATATCGGCGGGCCGATATTATCGGCCGATATTAGGCATTTTCCTAACTATCGGTATCGGCATTTATAATGGCCGATAATTTTTTTTTTTTTTAATTTAAATGCAGGTGCGTGATTCATGTAAGGGTGGCGATGCCAATAAAGCACATTAAAGCTGTCACAAAGAACTGGCAAAAGTAATGATTGTGAATACATCAAATATAGCAAGGAGACATTTTAATTGTTTATTAATAAACAAGTGTTTTCAGTCAGTGTCGCTGCAAAGTTGACGACGCTGACTCGCGATCTTCAGTGAACACGCCAGAGAGAAATGCACATTTCATACGGATTACAGCAGAGAGCAGTCTGTCTTTCGTTTTGAATCGTTCTGTTTAAAAATAGACATTTCAATATATATATATTTCTCAGGTCTATACGCTGAGTTTCGGTTCATTTATGAGACTAGTTGCAGTTCACGCGCCGGCGCCTCCGTGTCGAGATTCTCTATTGTCCACTATATTTATTTCTTATTTATTAAATCCAGGCAATTGGTTGATGATTAAAATTAAGATACAATTAATACAAAACGAAATTCACTTTAATGAAAGGCTTTGTGCTTTCTGTTTGAGCGAGGTCTCTGCACTTTAGTGCCGCTTTTAGAGCTTGTCACGTGCGTAACATTGTTTTTTCCTCGTAAATGCGAACACGAAAAATAAAATTAATATTTTATGTTCTATTGAGAGCCAACCCTTCTTCATCCGGTGGGTAGTAGCCTATTACTTTTGATTTGCCTAGTGTAATTCACAGAATTCATTTCTCTGCTACCAGCCTCTGTCACGTATTGTGTGAGCTTGTGATGACTGGGGAAAGCGCGCAGCTGAGAAGTCCTGATTATATTGTCTGCTATATTTACTTCTTATTTATTAAATCCAGACAATTGGTTGATGAAACATTGATTAAAATGTGTTGCACGAGCGACAAATCTTCGACAGTAAACTGATGCCCCATTCTGCTTTGTAACGGGCGCTTTTTGTAAACAGCTGTTGCGACGCGAGCAATAAAGGCCGCGTCCGGTGTAGACAGTGTTAAAGCTCATTCTGCCTATAACACTACGTTACACAAGCAATAATTTAAAAAATTATAACACTGTTTCACGTTTAGTACTACATTTTGCTTACTACTTATTTAAAAATTGTACTGTACATATGTAATTAAAAACGTTTTCATTATGATATTATTAATTTTACTTTAGTAAAAAGATCTGAGTTCTTCCTCCACTGGTAGAGATTAGAGGAATTAAGACTACAAATAGAAGATAATAAGGTTTTGTCAGTGACACTTTTGATATATTTATTGATACAAGTTATGTTTTATATAATGTGACTACATTAAAAGACAAAGTTGTTAGTGAAGATTATGCAACAGTATTTATAATATAATATAATATAATATAACATGCAATCCAAACTAGTTTGGTTACAGCTCAAATGTATCATTCTCATTCTATCATTCACCATGTACACATCTTTGTCACACAAGGGTTTGATCACCACATTTGAGATCATTGCAAAACGTGTATATATTTATTCTGTTTATACGGTGTATTCTATATACAGTACCCATCAAAAGTTTGTACACACCAATAGGAAAGTATGTCCAATTTTTTGACTGGAACTGTACTATAATACACATACATAATATTGCTACTGTATTATAATATACACATAAATAATATCGGCCGATATATCGGTATCTGGCGTTATTTTATCGGTATCGGCATCGCATCAGCCCCCAAAAATCCATATCGGTCGGGCTCTTATATGGACTAATGTTTGATATAAAATTTAACTCAATGAAGAGTGTGGTATTGATCGCCAGAACCAAGGAGGATATGAAGTGTGTCTATCCTTCTTTCCTATTGGCAGGTGAACCACTAGAGGTTGTAAAGAAAGTTAAATATCTGGGACTTGTGATAAGAGATGACCTCTGTGATGATGATGATGTGCAGCGTCAGTGTGGAAAACTGTAAGCAAACATGCTGGCACGCAAATTCCACATGTGCACTCCTGATGTTAAAATCTCACTCTTCAAAACCTCTTCAAAAACTCCACTGTATACTGCCCACCTGTGGTGTAATTTTAGTGAGTCGAAAATGAAAAAAACTTCAAGTAGCTTATAAGGATGCACTGAGAATAGTGCATAAAATTCCTAGGTGGAGTAGTGCCAGTGAAATGTTTGTGTCTAACAATGTGCCTACTTTTAACGCTGTTGAAAGACTGACAGGGTCTAAGAATATGATCATTGTCTCCATAGCTGATGTTTTTAAGAGTGACACAAGGTATACATCTTGCTTTTGGAAACATTGGACCCGAAGCCTGTAGGCCTATATGTTTTATAAATGATGCCTCATCCGCATCATTCTTAATTGTTTTGTATTGTTTTACATTTATATGTATATCTGTACAGTGTTGTCTCTATGGACCTCTGTGTCTTGAATAAAAGTTGATTGAATACAATGACATTTAAATATAGGCCTATATTAGACCTGTTCCATTCATATGCCAAATGACACGCTCAAAAGTAAATCTCTCTTGTCTGTCACGCTGCAGGTAAAGGAACACCACGTGACCAACCGGCTCTTCTTGACTGAAAGCGCAAGATCCTCTGATCACCGATCGACCGACTGACGGAAGCATCTCTTTGAGTTAAACACGCAACAGCTACAAATATAGGCCTATATTTCCGAATAATTCAGGTAATCAATGGAGTTACATTGTTTAATGCAGTTTAACGCTTGACGATCAGTCTGCGGGTCAGGTTTAGCCTAGATGTGTAAACTAAATAAATGGTAAATAAATAGCCTACATAAAAACAATAGCTAAAAAAACTTATAACAAATATAAAACTGCTTGCTTTTTATTTAGACTGCTTGCTGTCTAAATATCATCATGATAAATAAAATGGAACCACACAGATGACACAAATTTAGCCTACCTAAACACAAGTGGATGTGTTTACATACGGCATTTGTTAAACAATAATTTACTTGTATGAAAGAAGTTATTTTCAAAGGTCTGACAGATTGAGGAAGGAGATTACCAGCAGGCTTATAAGGCAAATCTGTTCATTTGACATACAGCCCCGTATGTTTCAATCTCAATATAAGGGGTAGAAGTCTATATTTGCACCACTGTCATAATTGCCTAAATCATGGACAGAAATGTTTATGTCTTTTTGGCTGATTAGGATGAAGATGACATTGCGCATAATATATTCCTCATGCCGCACAAGTGAGTTTATTTGATATGATGTAGCAGTCAGAAAATGATCATTTGACCATGAACTGTGAGATGCTGCCATAGTGGAATAGTTTGATTCTCCTACTGAAGCAAAATTATGTTTAATTTCATTAAGGCACTTTCGCAGTCAGGCTTGGACCTGTCCGTCCCTTCAGCCTTACCGTCTACAGGGGAGGCTATAGTGAGATCATACACAGGTATACATTTTCACACCCTAAACACACAGTGTCCTACAATGCCTCTCTCTGTCTCTCTGTAGAATATGTGAATGCTGAAGAGTTGCCTACCGACATGAAGTCCATCACAGACCGTGCAGCACAAACACTGCTGTGGACCGAATTTTTCAGGGGTCTGTATGTATAATGCTATTTAAAAAGAACCCGAACTGCTGAAACGAGCCATTAGTAATTCCAGTCTCCCTAACTTTTACACACCTACGTAACAATGTAACAAATTTGCATAATGCCAGCCTATGGTCTTCATTGGCTGCCTGCTAACAAACCGTTTTAGACACGGTGAAAAAAGCACTGATGCTACAATATTATGAGAAAATGAAAGTGTTTATTGTAAACCTATTGTAGGAGACCTGCAAAACAAAATTAGGAACCTTTAAAATTGCATAATAGGGGCACTTTAACTTTTTTTTTCTTCCTGAATATGGTACTTTTTTGCATGTGGACTTGCATGCTGAGATTTTGCAGTATATAAAGTTGTGTTGTTCAAATACATAATAATAAAAAAATGATTATTTTATTCTTTGTCTGTATGGCAGGATTGGGCATGACCATGAGTTATTTGTTTAGAGAACCAGCTACTATCAATTACCCATTTGAGAAAGGCCCTCTCTCTCCCTGGTTCCGTGGCGAGCATGCGCTGCGCAGGTATCCCAGCGGAGAGGAGCGCTGCATTGCCTGTAAACTGTGTGAGGCTGTCTGTCCTGCTCAGGTACACACACACACACACACACGTGCATGTTCCTCATCTGTGATTACCTACCGGCATTGCTTTTGTCTCCTGTAGGCCATCACAATAGAAGCAGAGACCCGTGCAGATAGCAGCCGAAGAACAACTCGCTATGACATTGACATGACCAAATGCATCTACTGTGGATTCTGCCAGGAAGCCTGTCCTGTGGACGCAATCGTAGAGGTACACAGATATATTACATAAAGGCAAGGCAAGGCAAGTTTATTTATATAGCACATTTCATACACAATGGTAATTCAAAGTGCTTTACATAGAAGAAATTAAAATAATCAAAACAAATAAGAATAATTAAAACAGTTTAGAATAAAAAATAAAGTACAGTAAAAACAGTCGGACGGACAGTGGCACAGTGCTCATTCAGTAAATGCATAGCTAAACAGATGTGTTTTGAGTCTGGATTTGAATGTGACTACTGTAGGAGCACATCTGATCTCTTCTGGAAGCTGGTTACAGCTGCGGCTGGCATAATAGCTAAAAGCAGACTCTCCTTGCTTAGAGTGAACCCTTGGTATTTCTAGCTGATGTGATCCTAATGATCTGAGTGATCTGTTGGGTTTATATTCAGTGAGCATATCTGCAATATATTGAGGTCCTAGCCCATTAAAAGATTTATATACCAGTAATAATACTTTAAAGTCAATCCTAAATGTAACTGGGAGCCAGTGTAGAGACCTGAGGACTGGTGTGATGTGTTCATATTTTCTGGTTCTGCTCAGAATCCTGGCAGCAGCGTTCTGTATGAGCTGCAACTGTCTTATGGTCTTTTTAGGAAGGCCAGTGAGGAGTCCATTACAATAATCCACCCTGCTGGTGATAAAAGCATGCACAAGTTTCTCTAAGTCTTGATTGGAAACAAAGCATCTAATTCTTGCAATATTTTTCAGATGATAGTATGCTGATTTAGTTATTGCTTTGACATGACTACTGAAACTAAAGTCTGACTCTAGAGACACACCAAGATTCCTGACTTGATTTTTAGTTGTTAGACCCCTAGCGTCAAGGTATGCATTCGCCTTGAGAACTTCATCTTTGTTTCCAACGCAATGACTTCAGTTTTGTCTTTGTTTAACTGAAGAAAGTTTTGGCACATCCAACCGTTGACTTCATCAATGCATTGGCACAGGGAGTCAATGGGGCTGTAGTCGTTAGGCGATAGGGCTAAGTAGAGCTGTGTGTCGTCTGCATAGCTGTGGTAAGAGATTCGGTTCTTTCTCATTATTTGGCTCATTGGGAGCATATATAGGTTGAACAGGAGTCAGACGCAAGCAGCGCAGCTCAACCCGACAAACGCAAACAGACCCCATTATAACCAGTGATATTCACTGGATGCGGCACGACAAATTCCTGGATGCGACGAGTTTTATTCCTGACATACTCCAAGTGCTCGCGCTACTTCGGACATGAAGGACAAATTGACTTGCAACGGTCGCTTCGTCTCGTCCGGTGTACACACGATGTTACACTGAGATACTTAATTGATCACTGAGGGTTATTTAGTCCAAAACAGTTCATATTATACACTGATACAAACATTTTTCCTTTCTTTTTGTGGCAGGGCCCTAATTTTGAGTATGTGACTGAGACTCATGAAGAACTGCTGTATAATAAAGAGAAGCTGCTGAATAATGGAGACCGATGGGAGGCCGAGATTGCTGCTAACATTCAGGCAGATTACCTGTACAGATGAACAAATAACATCCTGCTGACAGAAACACAAACAGCAGACGACATCAGTTCATTAGCGACCCGCATCATCTACTGAAACTAAAAATTACACTTTGTATAGAACCACAAAAAGTATTCATATATTTGCTGTCTAAACGCACAAAACACAATGCACAATGAATGTTCATCTATCTGTTCATTTTAAAGCAGTGCATTCAAACATAATAGGTTGTTCTCAGGGGCAGATATTACAGTTGAATGTGAATGTTTACAGGAAATGCACATATTTGCTTATTCTCTGATAAAGTGATTTAATGATGTAAATAAAATAACAAACAAAATATGGTGTGTTTCTTTTATTAACATAATGCTAATAATGTAACCATTTACCACATTTGGATTATACATATTATTGCTGTCAGCTATTTATATTTTATATATAAAGTGTATTATTTTTTTATTATTATGTATTATTGTTACTTATATATTATTATACTATATTATCTATAGTATAATATAATATAAAAGCCCAAATCGATCAGCGTATTCAAACTTTTTCACTTACGGGGCAGTCTGGTTGAGGAAGAGCACTCCCAGAGAAGACAAAGGACGTTTCAGGGTATGAACATTTGAACTCTCTCTTGTGAAATTAGCATCACCATGCGAGACGCAAGTCTCACCTCAGCATCATCCTAATCTACATCTCTACATCTCTTTCCCTCCCATGTAAATCAACTTCTGTCCCCAGTAAGTCTGGGACGGTGATTAATGCAAATTCCCATTGTGAACTCATGTTTACATTTGAAAAGAGGTTTCTGCCTTGGTCTGGGTATTTAGGGAGACGCTGAAGAGGGTTCAGGGCACGATATGTAGTTCAAATCAGCCCGTGATTAAAAAAAAAAAAAAAAAGATGTTGAGTGTCTTGGGCACTGCGTCAGATTAGATTAGTAGGACATTCACATAACATTTGTTTATTATCTGATAAATTGATTGAAATTATATAAATAAAATATGGTGTAGGCCTATTTCTTAACATAATGCTAATAATTTAACTATTTACCACATTCCAATTACAAATATTATTATTGTCAGCTATTTTACTTTAATAGTAATAGTAACAGTATAATATTCAACTTACATTGTTGTATAAACTGTACATATATATACCATACAATTTTAACATCTATATTATTAACATACTGCTGTTATTTCACACACAGTATATTTATTCTGGTCTTTCACCTACATTATTGTTCATGTCACACATTGAATATTTCGTCAAATATCTTATTGCATATGATATATACCTACCTTCTATATTTCTCAAGTTTGTCTATTTCAATAACCAAATCCCATGCTACAGTTCACCGTCTTTGTATCTTCTGTGTCCCGCAGTGTTAAAACAACAAAAAACAATGCCCTCTAGAGATGTGTTGTATAATAGGCACAGATATTACAATTGTGTGTGTCATATATGTTTATTTACTCGGTAACTGAAGTATTTCATTAAATCAGCCACCATATTATATCTGTTTTAAAGTCTCATAAAATGTATGGAATATTGCAGTATTTATTATAGCCTAAATGATTTATCATGCATTTTTTTTAAATATGTCCTCGTAATCTTTAATCATAATATCCTCCCACCTCCTTGCAGCATATCTTGGCTGCGTCCGAAATCGCATCTATATAGTCGGCGAAAAACAGTAGGCTAGGCTATGTAACAAAAGAAGTGTACGAATTCACAGTAGCCATACTCATAAAAGAGTAGGTTCCGAAGTGTGCATTTTGTGGACACTTTACTATCCCATGAGGCCACGGGACAGGATTTGTGAATTGCAGTGAAGCGATGTAACCAGGATGTAAGTTGTAACTGATGCTGGTAGGTCACATGATAACGACGAATGTAGTAGGTCTATGTCCCTATTATAGGCTACTACTACACGCATTTATACTATATAGATTATAACATAGCGGTTGTGAAGTAATTACTTATTCAAAATAAGTACCTACTCAAGAGAGTAGCCTATAACAGCATCTTCTCTTCTATCTGTTTTTTTTTATTTTTATTTTTTTTTATTTTTTTTATTGAATATCAAGATTTACAAACAAACATGGCTGCATAACTTCCTTTTTTACAGAATAGGATATAAGAAAAATATAGCCAGAGGGAGCAGCACTTAATACAACACGAATGTAATGTAGACAAGTACAAAATAGGATATTGGTAAGGAAAATAAAACATAATAATAATAATAATAATAATAATATTAATAAATAAATAAATAATAAGTATTTAGATAAAACATACATGACATAAGGGGTAAATTCAGACTTTTTCATCCATTTATCTCAGTTGGGAAGTGTTTTAGGGTATCATATATTTTTTGAGCTTTAGGACCTTTCAGAGTTTTTAAGGATTTTATATACAGTTTAAATTCATTTTTTTTTTTAAAAACAAATTTGGGAGATGATTTCACAATTCTACACTTGTGAATGAAGAATTTAGCTAGACATACAATTGTATTAATACACAACTCAACATCCTTGCTTTGCAAAATCAAACCAAATGTAATGTCGTCTCTGGATATAAAGGTTGGGAATGAAGATATCTGCTGCTTAATCCATTTATGTACATCACACCAAAATATCTGTATTACATTACATGAGAAAAACACATGGTCCGGAGTTTCAACACCATTTTCACAGAATGTACAAGTGTTATCATCTATACCAAAGCGAAGTCTCAGTAATTCTTTAGAGGGATAAATGTTGTTCATTACTTTAAAGTGAGTTTCTTTCACTTTGGGGGGTATAGGGAGTGTTAGATACATTGTTCTTAGTTTAGTAATTGAATCTTTATCAAATTTTTGAATGATGTTATTTTTATTTTGCCTTTCAGGGTAAAGGTATTCAGTAAAACAATTTCTAATAAAGTGGTTAGTACATTTTTTATCTAGAATACAGAACCCTTGAATTGATAGTGGGGCCAATTGTGGTTGTATTGGATAATATGCCAAACTGTTTCTTATTAGAAAGACAAATTGTTGGGGTAGCGCTCTGTGTAATTTAGTGAAGTCTGATTTTAAGGGTTGGAAATTATGTTTGATGCCAAATTGTTCATAATTTAAGAAATGACCATTGATATCCATTAAGTCAGCTACGGACCATATATTTCTCCCATACCAGTCTTCAAAGAACAGAGATCTGTTGCGGTTCAGAACATATCTGTTTTTCCATAGTACAGACGTGTGGGGTGAGAAGTTGTTTCTCTTCTATCTGTTCTCTGATGACATGTATACTGGCGCGAGGGCGGGGACAACCTGTCACTCACATCAGATCGACCAATAGCAAACCACAAACGTCCAATCAATAGTTATCCTCGGATAAACGTCTCAACAGCAATATTCAACCGGGGAGAAAAGACTATCTCAACTTCAGTTTCGCTAGGTGGCGCAGTTGTCGCGCGGCAGCAGAGGGTCACGTGGTAGGGGCGGAAGCGTTTATGTGAGCCACGCTGAATCCCGCGCGGGCGCAGCCATTTGCTCTCTTCCTCGATCACTTCACCACCGGTGAGTGCGGAACGACGCTGCTCTTCTCATCACTAACTCATTTCAACGAGACGTTTTTGTTTTCGCCGAAAACAAAACACACCCGAAAGTCTTTATACTTGTGCTAAGGTGATCTAAAGTCGATCAGGTCGCGTTTATTCGCCGCTGATGTGGAGTTGTGAGTGTTTCATCATGGCTCATCTGTGTCGTAGCGCCATCGTGAGTTGTTGGCAGCGCGCGATGCTGGCGAGCTGCTGCAGTCGCGTGAACAACACTTGCTTCGTTTCACTCTCTTGTGAACTTAACCGATTGTAGTTAATTTTCACAATCTTTAATGCGCTATATATTGATTTCCAGATTGATGGGCCTGTTTGAGGCCTTCAGACTGCGACTGAAGTTCAGGCTCCAGTAGCAGCGGCCTCGTGTGTTCGCGCGCATCCTTTTATTCAGACGCGGTAGTTGTTCGTGTATGAACGCAGTTGTTTGTTTTGAGTTTTATACGCTTTTTTGGGTTTACTATGCGTGTTAAAAGTGGTATTTTTAGTAGTTTTGTGTAACTATGTTGTTTATTTGTGATTGTTGCGGCCTTTTGTATGATGTGACTAACCGTCCCGCCATCTCTCCCGCAGAGTGACTGCAGCACAAAGACCAACACACACAAACAGCCATGGCAGAGAACGAGCCACAAGTTCAGTTTAAGGTAAAGCTCTAAAACTACAAGCTACAACAAATAATTAAATGAGGGTTTTAAGTGTTCGGTTGTTAGCACTATGAGTTGCTTAACTGTTTGGAAGTGAATTAGAATACTTGTTCCTGATAACGAGTGCAGAGATAAGCGTGAGAACCGCCTCGAGACACACAATGATGGTGCATTAATCAGGAAAACGGTTAAAATGATAGTAAATGTTTAAAAAACCAGTGTCTTCAAATTCATAGGAAAATGTAAGGCTAATTTTTGTATATATTATAATTGGTTAACCCATTTAATCCCAGTTCCTTCGTCTTGTTCCATGTTTTAGTCCAATGTAACAAACTTTATTGGGTAACACTTTATTTGCATACACTTTATTTTAAGGTGTCATTGTTTGTGTAATTCTATATTTAAGTACTGAGTAATATTAACTACATGTACTTACTATAGGGGTAGGTTTTGGTTGTGGGTTAGTTGCATGTAATTATGAATCATTTACTGTTACTATTAAGTACATGTAATATGGACCCTGTAAAATAGTGTTACCCTTTATTTTACGGTTTTATTGTTACATGCAGGTACTATAGTAACAACTATAAAGTATGCGTAGTTACATGCAACTAACCCTATAGTAAGTACATGTAGTTACTTAATATTAGTTGTAACAAACACCCCTAAAAACAAAGCCTAACCCTTTTTTGTGAAGATTGTAACTGATGGGAAATTTGAGACCCATTGGAGTCATGTTTTTGTTTTTACTACCAGGCAACTGTTAGATTAAATTAGATTTGTAAACCAATCACAATACATAAAATATGCTTTCAATACTTTTAAACCTATCTTAATGCAAATTAATCAGTTACTTTATCCAATATCAGGCTGTGATTTATCACAAATGTGACCACTGATATCTTAACTTATATTTTGAAAATGGCATATTCAATGGTTTATGGACAATTCTCATCGCTGCATCAAGCCACTCCCATAAAGTAGCTGCCGCTTTTCAAATCAATGTATGGCTCAGACTAAAGACTTCAATAAAATTATAATATTGTAATTCCCTCATGAATAAATCAGTAATACTGGCTGTGTCTATAGTTTGATAGAGTACACATCATATTATCTTCAAATTAACTTAAGTTATAT